AATGCAGACATGCATATTGGTAACTATAAACATTAAATTACTACAAGCCGAGAGTGTCTTGAAAATAGAAGAGAAAAATTCCAGTTTGGGACCCATTTCAGGGTTATATAATGAAAGAAGGTTGTTCCTTAAGTGAACGCTATGTTGGGCATAAATTTTAGTGATGTGTTTCTACATGTGAAAAGATCATTCAAAATAATCGTATAGAAGAGAATTTCAACTTGAAGCCTATATGAACCCAACACAACACCTGGGCATATGATAGAATTTTCTCAAAAATGACATGCTTGAAATAGTTCTTGTGCTTTATTTTCATTTTAGTTTCTGAATCAGAAAACATTATTTGCTATGTGAGTCAAGAAAACAAAAAGGAATGATTGAAAATAAATTATATTTAGCAAGGCACCAGGCACAGTAAAAAGACTGGAACAGAGGGCCTTAAATACTGAATAAGATTAATTTAGATCCAGTGAAATTTTATTTTAGCTTGGACATCTTGATTTAATTTGTCTTAAAATATGTATTCCTTGTTGAGTCTTACTATTTCTTCTTCAGTATTCAAGTTTAAGTATAAACCTATTTTGAGGATACACAAATTGTACATTTTTTTTTTTACAAATGGTATTTTTTGTGTTTGTTTCTTGTAGTTTTTGACCAGGGCTGAGTTTGAACCCACCACCTCCAGTATATGGGGCTGCTGCCCTACTCCTTTGAGCCACACGCAATGCCCACAAGTTGTACATTTTTAACAAGTATCTTTTGAGGGTATAATGATTTGGATATTTTTTTAGACCAATTTAAGCAGTTATTGGTAATGTCACATGCTTAGACCAGGTAAAGTTTCCAAATACTAAGAAATTCAGCTTTTTCTTCTGTAATAGATAGGAAAAGAAAAACAAGTTCTGCAGCTTTTTCACTTTTGTGCATTACCTATTAATCTATCAGTAATAGGGTCTGTCAGCTGCTGCTGAATAAATGTCATTGTAGCAAGGTTACCAGAAACTTACAAAAAATTATCCTCTCACATTAGCATAGTTCTAAGCTGGGGGGTGGTTTTGCCCCCTAGGAGACATTTACAATGTATTCAAACATTTTTGGTTGTCACAACCGGGAACCGGGGTTGTGCTCTTGGCATCTAGTTGGAAGAGGCCAGAGGTGCTGATGTACATACTACTAAGCACAGAACATCCCTCACAATAATTATCTAGCCCAACATGTCAATAGGGCCAAGGTTGAGAAACTTTCCTAACATGTCAACTGTTCATTTTTCTGTTTCGTGTCCTTGCTCATGTGTACATTTTTACGTGGTTATGTTTTGTCTTTCCTTTTCATTTAAAAGTATATATTTCATTTTATTTGGGAATTGATACAGAAGAAATTATTTGAGATGTCTGTAAGTTTTAAATTATATTTGGGTAGATAGAAGAGAGAAGGATCCAAAGTCACCTGACTAGATTATTTCAGTTACTCTTTTGTTTCTATTTCTTTTGTTACCTAGTGTCACTCCAAGACCATGGGATCCAAAGCTCATCCTCTGTAGCATGAGGTGTAGTCCTGTCCCCTATACTGTAGTTGGAGGAGGGCACCTGTTAGGATAAAAAAAGAGGAAGTAGAAACAATCGCACCCATTCTCTTTGCCTTCTTTCTGTTTAAAATTCTTTGTCTCTGTCTCAGTTTGTTTTGAAGGCCTTACCACCTTATTATTTACATCTAGAAGTTTTTGGAGGCCTAAAAGCACTACATGCAGTGGTTCTCAACTTTCCTAATGCCACAGCCCTTTAATACAGTTCCTGTGGTTTGCAACCCACAGGTTGAGAACCTCTGCGTTAGAGGCTGCAATTCTTTCCAGAGAGTGGATTTTTAAGATACTTAATGAGCATTTTTTTGGCATCTACTTTGAAGAGTAATCTTGTATACTTTGCTACGTGGGCAATTGTACAAGTTTAGATATCAGAGCATTTGTAATTCAAGGAACAGATACATTTACCTCAAGATCTGCTTTAATAGAATTTCCTATTACTCAACCATCAGGTCTCAATAAATCCACTGGAATAATGTTTATTCCATTAGCTGGGCATGGTGGTACATGCCTGTAGCCCCAGCTACTTGGAAGGCTGAGGCAGGAGAATCACTTGAGCCCAGCCTAGGAGTTTGAGGCTGCAGCGAGTTATGGTAACATTACTGCACTCTAGCATGGGCAATAGGGTGAGAACCTGTCTTAAAAAAAAAAAAAAAAGTTGTGGCATGTCAGCACCACAGGCAGAGGGCCCTGATTATCAAAAGTCTTAGAAATATATATGAATAAGTAGCATGATGGGGATAAATAAATATACTGACACAAAGGGCTAATGTCAAGGAGTGGCAAAAGATAAGGCTAGAGAGACTGGCAGGAACCAGACTCTGGAGAATTTCTAGTACCAAGCTGAGGAGTTTAACTCCTCCTGAAAGCAATAAGAATATTAAGCAGCAAGTGATTTGTATTCAGGAGAATCAGTCTGGGAGCTATGCTTAGCACAGATTGGGTGGGAGCCAGCCTGGCAGCAGGAACATCAGTTAAGGATGCCATTACACTAAACTGAGCAAATAGTGAGGAGAGCCTGAATAAAGCAGCAATATAGACATGGAGAGGATGAATTAGAAAATGACAAAACAGGTACTACAAATTGGAAATGAATAAGAAAGATGGGTCAAGGATAACTCCCCGGTTTTTGGCTTGGGAAATTATATTGATGGTGATTTTTAACTGCATATACCAGGAGGAGGAGAAAAGGACAAATGGATTGTTCAAGCAGAGTTGTTCAGTAGATAGTTGGACATGCATTGGTCTTAAATAGCAAGTTTATTTTATACTGCACTCCTAGCCTACCTTCTCTTCTCTGGAACTTGGATCTCACCAGCAATCTTTGTTTAAAGAGGAGGCTTCAGTGGCCATATTTGTAGCCCCGCTTCCAAACCATTCCATGCATAACTGACTGAATGAGGCGTGTGTAACTAACTTCAGGGGAGTACAACCTGTTGGGTAAGCAATAAGTAATTATTTATTTTGCAGAAATTTGAGTAAAGGATTTGAATGGCTGTTTTTGGCCTTGCTGATGAGCAAGGCAGAGAAAGTCCATCCCTGTAGGGAAGCAAGAGGAGCAGACTCACAGGGAGACTCAGAGACAAAAAGACCTCTTGGGTAGGGCACTGGCCACATATGCTGAGGCTTGCAGGTTTGAACCCGGACCAGGCCAGCTAAAACAACAATGATAACTGCAACAACAACAACAGATACAGCTGGGCATTGTGGCTGGTGCCTGTAGTCCCAGTTACTTGGGAGGCTGAGGCAAGAGAATCACTTGGGCCCAAGAGTTTGAAGTTGCTGTGAGCTATGACATCACAGCACTCTACCCAGGATGACAGCTTGAGACTCCGTCTCAAAAAAAAATTTTTTTTTAAAAAGTTGTATTTGATTATAACAGCAAGTCCTATTCATAGTTAGTGGTTCTCGTAACATAGATACCACTTTATCAGTCAGTAGATAATTATCTTTCACATACTGTTATAGTGCATGCTGCATGATTATTTGCAACCTAAAAAATTAAACACAATATTGATGGCAGTCTTAGATCAACAAGTTTTATTGTGCTTGATTTGGATGATGAGCACACTTGCCATTTTGACTCAAATGGTGCAAAAGTGATGTAAGTAACCAAAACATTGTATTCCTGTAATAGTCTGAAATTAGTTAAAAAAAAAACTTTTGTGGCCAGGCCTGGTGACTCACACCTGTTGTCCCAGTGCTGTGGGAGGCTGAGGCGGGTGGATTGCCTGAGCTCAGCTGAGTTCAAGACCAGCATAAGACCAGCATGAACCCGAGTGAGCCAGAGTGAGACCCCGACCCTACAAAAAAAAAAAAAATAGCCGGGCATTGTGGCGGGCACCTGTAATCCCAGCTCTTGGAAGGCAAAGGGCAAGATAATCACTAAAGGAAGAAAGGAAAAAAAAAAACTTCAAACTAAGGTAAGTGAAAGCCAGCTGAAATTGAAAGCAAAAAAAGAAAAAAAACCTTTTGCAAGACAGATGAATGACTTAGAAGTATAAATTATAAGACATGTTTTGTGAGTAAAATCATTCCTTGATAATTCCAGGTTTCAGAGAAGTCCTTTTATCTCTAAATTTTCAATAAGGGGACAAAGGCTTAGGATTTTATAAAACAAAAGAAGATCCCTTTGGGAAATTTTTAGATTATTAATTTGCAAACTTTAGAAAAGATAGAGGCTTGGCGCCTGTGGCTTAAGCGGCTAAGGCACCAGCCACGTACACCTGAGCTGGCAGATTCGAATTCAGCCTGGGCCCACCAAACAACAAAGACAGCTACAACCAAAAAAAAAAAAGAAAATGCCAGGGTTGTGTTAGGCACCTGTAGTTCCAGCTACTTGGGAGGCGGAGACAGGAGAATCGCTTGAGCCCCAGGAGTTGGAGGTTGCAATGAGCTGTGATGCCACAGCACTCTACCCAGGGCTACAGCTTGAGGCTATGTCTAAAAAAAAAAAAAAAAGAAAAGAAAAGATAGAAAATCCTGTAGTTTTTTTTCTAAGTTCTTATTATACAGAATTTTCATTAAATATGTGCTCATTTGTTACTTTAGGAAAATACTATACAGTTTTTGAAAGCTTTAAATAGCAGATACTGTCAGCTGTTTCATTTAAGTGCTTATTATAACCAGATAACAGCATTCGATAGGAAAACTACAATATACTTTTGGAAAGTCTAACTCTAGGCATATACACAGATGTTTTGCCTCCTCAGTCATATGTATGTATGTGTACATGTGTATACGTGTGCTTATCTCTTCTATCAAGGGAAAAGTTCAATGGGAAGACATATATCACCACCTTGGGAAGGAAGGAATCGATACTGGCTACTACAGAAGAACAACTCTATTTGTCTGGTGCTTACTCTAGCACTGTGAAGACAGACCGAGGACTGCTACCGGAAATGTAGAAGAGCTGACGAGGAAGCACATGGGAGAAACGAGAGAAGTAAGAGCTAATGACATCAAGTTCTAAAGATACCTGTCCTTTTGTTCATTGTCCTTCATTAAACTGGCATATTAAAAACTAACATTTGCATATCATTGTTGTGTAGTTTGCAAAGCCTCGTGTGTATTTTTTTTAAGTGAAACATGGCAATAGTCTGTGTCGGTTTCCAGTAGAGTATGTGTACAGGATGTTGCCTAGAGATGACTAGTTGAACATTCGACCATGTCTGCTCAGAGTAACGTTCATTAGCTTGGTAAAGTCATCCTTGTCTCAGGAGCTGAACTTCCAAGGTGACTCTTTTCTTTGAAGGTTTAGAATCTGACTGGCATGCTCTCAGTGGACTTGCTTCTCAAAGATGGGCTTGTGTTTACCAAACTCATAGAGATGTTTGTAGAAAAACCCACTTACTAATTGACAAAAAGAAATGAAATTGCCAGAGGAACTAGGCATATTTCTTAAAGGGACATTACATGGAAGCCAAATTTTAATCAGATGGTTACTTGGTGAACAAATGATTCTAAATTTTTATAGCACTAAAATAGCTAGATTTCTATAACAAGACTATCAATACCTGCCTTCATTTCTTGGCCTCTGCATACCCTTAGCACCTAGAGCTCAGATGGGTAAATAATGTCCTTTTAAAACTATTATCACTATTTTTGATGTTTCTAATACTGATCAACCTACTTTCTGGCATAGTCTTCCTCTCAGGTTGCCTGGAAATCACTCTGCTGTGTTTCCACATCTTAGCTCATGAAAGTAACTTACAGATTTTTAAATTTAGTTCTTAAAGGGCAATCTAATTTCCATTTTTAAAGAATGCAGCTCCTTTAGAACAAAAGGCAGGCTAGCATAATAAAGGCAAATAGGGGTGAAAAAATTGCCTTTAAAATTATCTTTTTGTGTAATGTCAAGCAAGTTACTATACTTTGAGCTCAAAATTCCTGTCTGTAAGATGGAAATGTTAATAGTGTCTTCAAAGGCATTGGTGAGGTTTATATAAATTAATGTGTATAAAACATTGCACACAGGTCCTTGGCCCCTAGCAAGTATTCAACAAATTATAGCTGCTGTTATTAGAAATGGATGTTGTTTCTGTCTTTTTAAAGAGGAGGAAACTGAAACTTACTAGGAAGGGGTAAAGTTGGACTGCAATTCCTGTGTTCCTTCTATACTACCATTGAGATTTTTGTGCATATTCCCAATAATCTTCCAAACAATTCAGCAAAATACAATTCAGTTATTTTGGTGGTTTACTTTCAAGCAATTTGGCAGAGTAAGAGATCAGTTTCTGGTTTTGGTACACTTGAGTGTGACTTCTAGCTCTTCTCCTTATTCCTCCTATGATGAGGTAAGACTCTTAGCCTCTCTAAGCCTGCTTCTTTACCTGTAAAGTGGGAGAATAATAGTCCCATGTGGTTGTGATAACAATTATTTGATGTCCTTAATATAGTGTCTGGAGCATATAGTTAGCTTTCTATCTATTATTAGCCACATAATAGATACCACATACCTTTTGTGAAGCTGTCGTATTAACTAGAAATTATTTTTAAAGAATACTCAATTTATTTTAATGTAATCTCCTACTAATGTTTAAGACATCTTAATCGTCAGTTTTAGCGTGGCAGTATAAGCCTAATAATTGTGTAGATTTTTCTCTGTTCATAGGTATTATGACCATATTTCCTAAACCACAGATAGGGAGACTTGATTTGAAACATGGTATGTTGGCTTGATGCCTATGGCTCAAGTGGCTAAGGTGTCAGCCACATACTCCTGAGCTGGTGGGTTCAAATCCAGCCCGGGCCCATCAAACAACAATGACAGCTGCAACCAAAAAAATAGCTGGGTGTTGTGGTGGGCGCCTGTAGTCCCAGCTACTTGGGAGGTGGAGGCAGGAGAATTGCTTGAGCCCAGGAGTTTGAGGTTGCTATGAGCTGTGACGCCATGGCACTCTACCAAGGGCGAAAGCTTGAGGCTCTGTCTCAAAAAAAAAAAAAAGAGAGAAAAAGAAACATGATATGTTGATAGAAAAAAATATTAGAGATTGGGACTGTCCCAGAAATTTGTGCTTCCATGTCTTCATAACCACAAATTTCAAAATTGGAAACATAGTGAATGATAACATAAGACAGCTGGAAGAAAGAGATCCACGCTTAAGGAAAGCTGTGTTTTCTGTTTATTTCTCAGAGGGTAGTTATGATAGAATGGTGATCTCTTAGTGGCTCTTTCATTTACTGGACTTTTAATATGAGTTAAAATATGAGCCATAGACTAAGAGTAAGAAAATGTATTATTTTCTTTTTAGGTGGAAAATTATGCAAACCATGTCTGTAACTTAACAGAAGGAAGAGAAACAGATTCTTATGGTTATGAAGAGGAAAATGAACATCTTAGACATGAGTTTAAAGAACTCCAACTCAAACAGGGTAATTTTTGCTTTTGTGAAAGTGTGCATTTTTCTTAATCCTAGAAATTAATATGTGACAATTGTAGAAAATTTGGTGAATGAATAAAAGTAGAAGGAAGGGGGGAAAACTACAAACTACTATATATACTTTGACTTCTACCGTTACAAGGGGTACTCAAGATGGCTTGTATTCATCTTTTGTTATCAGTATGTATATACAAGGTGGCCATAAAGTTCATGTGCAATTGTTTGTCTATTTTAAATCGCACACAAATTTTATGGCCACCCTGTATTTTTTTTATTTTTTATTTTTTATTTTTTTGAGATGGAGCCTCAAGCTATCCCCCTGGGTAGAGTGCCATGGCATCACGCTCACAGCAACCTCCAACTCCTGGGCTCAAGCGAGTCTCCTGCCTCAGCCTCC